CTCTCTCTCTCTCTCTCTCTCTCACTCTCTTATCTAAACTTAATACAGATGTCAACCGTTTAGTTCGCCTCCAAGTATTTCCGTTTATCCCAAAGGCTATCAATAGCTCGTCCTTTCACTACAGATGCAGAACTTAAAAATATTGTTCAGTTTTGTGTGTCATTTGTGGCAACCATTACAACACAATGTCATTCAATCGGTATTATTTGCAAATAATGGGGACATTTAATAAGTGGATGTATGCGATAGGGATGGACAGTCATGGACTCACTAATACTATAATACTATTACAAGAATCTCTAAGAAGTTTAACCGTAAAAAATCATCATTTGATACACAATGGGGTCGATAGATGTGTTGTGAGACAAAATACCATGAGATTTGTCTTTTAATGCCAACTCTCTGGACATTCATTTGCTTAGTTTCCTATCAAAAGAGACGCGACTTTTCTTATACTTAAAATAGATTTATATTTAACTTTTTTACAGCAAAAGACTCTTTTATGAGATTATTTGATAAAATTCTCATCTCTTATATACCGCTCGCCTTTAAAGATATTTTTGACTTATTTCAAGATTACTGTATATATTATTGTACGTCAAATGCACGGCACATATGGGGTCTCAATAAACGGCTCCCGCAGTGAAATCATTTTAATAAGATTACAATATATATAAATAATTGCTCATAAAATTTATATATTTTGCATACATTACACATACAATACTGTAATATATGTATTAATGATATAAAATTTAAATTTTATTTAATATATTTTCCAAAACTAATGTTTTATTCTAACAAATAATTAACGGCTAAAAGTTATGTGAATTAACTTTTAATAAATAAATGCATTTTTTCTATCACTTTTAAAAAGTCATTTAAGAAAGTAAAAAATAAATATAATTTTCACTTTTAAAACACCAAATAATAAAATAAATTATAAGACATAAGCACTGCATAAGCAATATATTAATAAATTCTCTCATTTCGTGACTAAATGATCGCTAAATGCGATAAAGTTTTGCTATAATTTATTTACTTTTATTCACAAATAAAATACATTAAAATTTGAATTCAGTTCTTATATTGAGTGTCAAAGAGATTGATAACCGGGAAAAAAGTGCTTTCAATTAAAATAAGGTAATTAATTGGACAGAGAGTGTAGCAAAAGTTGATGACCATATGACCATGTTCATACAAAACCATACCAATTGAGTGCATTCATGAATTTTAGTCAATGCACTTGGTCATACAAATTGGGCACATCTATAATCATTTGTTTTGACCATTACTTAATAATGATCATGTAACTTGATACACTGTAGCACTACATACTATAATCATGATCAATTAAATACAACTAATTGACCACAATTTATAAAACCAATCAAATGTGTTCACAAAGTCATAGCAAATAATGTTTGTAAAAAAGCGGACGTTATTTGTGTTGATATAATCGGCGAAACCATTGATTCAATTATTGTTTACAAATAGTTTTGTCGTTATTTTGAGTGAAAAATTCAATTGTATTTCAATTCATAATTAAAATTGATTTTCAAAAACACAAACAAAAAGCGATTTTTGGCCACAAATTGATCGCAAATTATGAACAAAAAAGAGTCGTAAGTATTATAGATATCACGTGTTTGTCGTCCCATGTCTTCGCTCGACACGTGAAGTGTGGATCAATTGAGTGACTAATTGTCTAATTGTATTGACTTTGTGTTTGAATAGCGCGGACCTGTCGACCATCCGGTGCCAGAAGTGCCTCCAAATGGGTCACTGGACCTATCAGTGCACCGGAAAACGCAAATACGTTCACCGATTGTCCAGAACTGCGCTCATGAAGAAGCGGATGAGGAAAGCAGAAGAGGACCAGAAGATGCAACTCTTGTCAGTGTTTCACTTTCGCCACACATTTGGCCACCAATTGAACCATTTGTTGATAATTTGTTTTCTCGTTTTTACAGACAAAAACTGAGTGATCAGAAGAAGTCTTCGGGCGATTCGTCGGCCACAAGCGATTCCGAGTCCGACAGCAGTTCCAGCGGTGATTCCAAGTCCGGTGAGAGCCGTAAGTCGAAGGCCAGCGCCAAGTCTTCGTCCAGTGACTCGAGCGAGTCGTCCGGCTCTTCGTCCTCATCCAGTAGTTCCGATTCCTCGGAGTCCGACTCCGACTCTACCTCTTCCGAGTCGTCCGGACATAACGATCATAAGTCGCGGCAAAAACACCGCAAAAGCCGTAAACACGAGAGGCATAGGAGTCGATGAGAAGAGGAGCCGATCCTTCAAATAGATGTCCATTTCTTGTGTGTGTTTTGAATTCGTAATCCAAAAGCAATCCATTAATTAGTTTTAACCGCCAATTGATGTGTAATTAATGTGTTTTTGTTTCATAACATTTACCACTAATAAACTCATTGACCGCTTGTTTTATTTTATATTCATTTTGTTTTGAATTCATTCATTTTGTATACATTTTACAATACAATACACTTATGTTCATTCATACTCTTTATTTGTATGGTGTAATTAATTTATAAATAAAGTTTTACGTTTATTCTATATTTTATTGAATTACAAATAATTAATTATACCGTAATTAAAAATAATAAAATATGATTTGATTAGGCTATTACTGTTTTCTGAATTTTGATAATCCCGACCCCTACCCATAGCACTGGTTTGTTATACGACTCTGGTATAACAAACCAGTGCTATGGGTAGGGGTCGGGATTATCAGTATTGGCTGGAACAGTGATAATAAAGACTAGGCATCATATACCACATCCCTGTCCACTGTCTTCAACTCAATCTCTTCTAGTTATTGAATATAGTGTTTATTTAAAATAGAAAATATTGGATTACCGTACATAGAAAAAATATTACAAGTGTTATAATAACAGATAATACATACAATTAGAAAACAATAATCAATATTAATTTAGATTTAATACTAATGCCTACAAATGAAAATGAATTATTATTTCTAATATACAACACAAAAACAGTCTAACATTTGATCGCAAAACTATTAAATCATTAAAACATATAAACTATTAAGAAATGAATTCATCAAAGAATTGACAATTTAATTGAAAACAAATAACAAAAAACTCAAAATCATTTATTAATCACTTCTTCGGTATTTCGGCCATCAATTTCTGGCCGTCGTTTGCGGCCTTTAGTCGGCCACTGATGTCGGCCTCTGTGGCCATCGCTCGACACATATTACGCAACAGATCCGTTGTCTCGATGCCAGAGGACATGTCGGCCACCAATACTCCCACTTTCACTGCAATCCACAGACAATGAGATAATGAGTAAGCTCAGTAAAAAAGTGCGTTTTGGTGCTTTCTTCACAGAAAAACATAACTTTAGATACGAGTAATGTTTGATTCATTGAATGACTCAATGGTTTATTAAACACTACTTTAATATTTCTAATAAAATAATTTATTTTTTCTGTGAAGAAAGCACCATAACGCACTTTTTTACTGAGCTTAATAATGAGTTACAAATGAATGGCACATCACTTGTCTTCACTTACCGTCCATTAGCCTCGCGTTGTCCAACATTTGGCCCAATTCTGTGTCCATTGTTTGCAACTCTTTCCTCATATCTCTATAACTCAAGTGATTGTCCGAAACGGCGGTCACCGACGGCTCCGTCCCCTCCACCGCCTCATGAGGTGCGCCACCACTGGTGGCCACTTGTCTCGGCTCGTCGTCACACCCTTTGGATCCGCTCGACATGTTGGGTGACATCACCGATGATTGAGTGGTATTTGTATTCATTTATTCAATAATTAGTAAATTATAATTGAATTGAAAGCAAATGTTTGAGTATTTGTTCAATCATTCAATCATTTCATTCAACACTCAATCCTTTGAATGAAATTCTTTGCAATCAATGAATGAAAACTTTGCGACAATTGCTTCGCTTTTGTCACACATTATGTGTGTTTCGTATAGAAAGGGACCAAATGTTTGCCACAACTCCATAGTATTTGCGACCCTTTTGTGTGTGTAATAAATAACTTATTGTAAAACACTTACAGTTTATAATACAGTATAAACTTTATATCAATTCATTTTGTTTGAAATGACAGCAAATATTTGTTTTATTTCAAAAAATATCGCAAATTTTATTGAAAAAATTATTTACAATTCATTTGATTTAACGACAAATAAATTCTCACTTTTAGCTAACAGTTTATTATCATTTGATTTCAGAGCTAAACATTATAATTGATTTCTCAATTTTGTTGAACCAATCATTTTCTGTTCAATTAAATGCCTATTTATTTATAAAATCAAATCTTAAATAAGTTGCTGTATATTACTTAGAAATTATACACTTTTATCATGAAAATGATCTCAATTTATATATTCAAAGCTCGATTCAAATGCCATAAACACCACGAGTATTATTACCATTATTAACGACAAA